CTCTACTTTATCAACGGCGACGTGAAGTTTGGCGACACAAACGTCATCGGGCAGTTTGAGCATGTCTTCGGACTCTTCTGGGGCCCCCTGTGCTGCTCTGGTTCTCCCGCCTTGCTGGCTGTGCAGCACAAGAAGCATGTTACCGTGTGGCAACTGCAGCTCAGCGCTCTTGAACAGAACAAGCTGCTGTGCACGCAGACGTGTGAGATGAGCGAGCCTTTCCCCTTGCTTTCACAAGGCTGCGTTTGGCACCCTAAACTGGACATTCTTGCTGTGCTGACTAAGAGAGACACCTCTGTGCTGTTTTCTGTCAGGGTGGACAACAGGAGAGTCAAAGCAGATATCAAAGGTAGTGGACTCATCCACTGTGCATGCTGGACTAAGGATGGCACGCGCCTGGTGGTGGCTATAGGCAGTGCCCTTCACTCCTACATCTGGAATGACATCCAAAAGAGTCTGGTGGCGTGTTCCTTCTGTCCCATCTTTGACGTGGGAGGCTATATCTGTGCCATTGAGGCCACCGGGGAAGCCCAAGTAGCTGTGGCTACGGAGCTGCCGCTGGATAAATTATGTGGGTTAAATGCTGGCATAGCGTTCGACTTGCCAGCAGAGACAGAGGCCCTGCACAGCCATGGCTCTCACATCTCAGATGATGACAGCCTTCTGGATTCGAGAAGAAGATCCTTCGAATCGGAAAGATCCTACATCCCTAGCTCAGGTCCTCTTGATATTACCCATCTTCTGGCGAGACACCGTCGCTCTGACCCCAGCCCCCTTATCCACTTGCGTCGCAGGGACACTGTAACAGGCTCCGGGCAGGACTCCTCGCACCTCATTCTGGTTACCTACGAGCGAAAGGTCACCACCACTCGTAAAGTCAGCATTCCAGGGATTTTGGTCCCAGACATTGTGGCTTTTGATCCCCGTGGTTCCACAGTTGCTGTTGCATCAAACACATGCAACATGGTTCTTGTGTACTGCATCACAGCCTCCACGATGCCAAACATCCAGCAGATCTCTCTGCAGCAGAACGAGAGACCCAAAGGAGTCTGTTTCCTCAGCGATAAGATTTTACTGTTGATGGTGGGTCGCCAGAAGTCCAACGAGCCCGCCTTCCTCCCATCTGCTAACACTGACAAATATATTCTTCATCTCATAGCCAAAGAGTTGATCTACGATGGAGAGTCGCCTATGTCTCCTATCATACCATCCTCCTCTGCTCAGAGCCATGAGTCCACTTCTAATTTCTGCACAGGGATTAGGAGGCACTCAGAGCACCTGTCAAAGGATGACAGAGAGCGCCCGGGGATAAAAGACTTGATACTGCCTGGAAGGGGGGTAGTTTGCTCACCGGGGAACAGGCGAAGATTGGTCGAGGAGGTGAGAAGCAGCGAGCACAGCCCCATCACCAGCTCTGTGGACTTATCAGACAGAGCCCCGTCCAGTGCCTCTTCAGTTACAGTGGAAAACTTTGACATGGACCACGTCAGCCGCATGGCCAGCCTGGCGGTGGCCGGACAGGTCAGCAGAGACTCCAGCCGAGCCAGTTCTCCTCGCTTCGAACCATCTGACAGGATGCACACAGAGCCGACACTGCCTATGCCTGAAAAGACTCCCGGCAAGGCCAAGGAGCGCGCGCTGGAGCAGCTCGTTCACAACATGGAAAGACTTTTTACACGCTTTGCAGAAGTGCAGCAGTGCCTGACAGAAATCAGAGATTACACTCAGAATGGCAAAAAGGCCCCAAGTGTTTACCCTAATGCCAGCGAACCCCCGTATGTCAATGTCACATGCCAGGTACAGTTTTACGTGTTATGTTTGATAGCCTATTATAAATATATCATGAATCATCTGCACTGTTTGTATTGTTCAGTGCAGGAATGATAATCTTGACAAGACAGCTAAAGAACTTAAAATCAATTCAATGTGACGTGAACATACACATTTAAAGTACGGTGTTTAATTAAATAAAAATGCAATATTAATAAGAATATTGCATTTTTTAACATATCATAATAGCCACGAGCGTGTCTCTTTCCATCACATTGCCTTTCTTTGTGCTCACGCAGAAGCAGTTGTCAGAAAATGTTTTTATTGACGAGCGGAGGCCAGTGCTGCTGTGCGACGGGAAACTGTGTCTGCGTGCACTCCAAGACCTCTTCAACTTTACCATTGTGGAGATGATGTATGGTATGTTCACAAAATTGGATTTGGCATCACTAGGTCAACAGTAACAACGTATAGCAAATAGCACGTGTCCTCTGCTACTTGTTTTCTGTTGTTTGTGCATTTTAAGTGGCATTTCCCTTAATGTAAAGCAGTACCTAAGCTGCCTTTGTGCAAAAGCCTCATCTGTTGTTTTTCATGTGCGATTAACCGTGTTGTGACACAGGGTGTAAAGGGTTAATTAACTAAAATCACTCTGAGGAAATTTCTTCTATCCTCAAGTGGGGTCAACTGCAAGTCATTGACTAAATGTTAAGATCTGTATGCTCTCGCTGGCTTTATTCACCATGAAGGCATCCCCCTCAGATTGCTCTGTACTTTATAAGAAACCTTATTTATTGCAGTCAGTTGTAATTTCAGGCAACTTGTGGTGGCATTGTTCTTCCGATAGCGTGCGTGAGCTATAATTGGAAGTGATTAAAAGCCTAAGTCAGATTATAAGGTCTTAAACAAAAGCAGCTTACTACCATTTAATGTGCATAGTGTTTTGTTGCTGCTGTAGCAAAGACTGGCTTTCCTAAACTGAGACCACCAAAATGTAGGTCGCACAAACTAGTTTCCAAACTACACTGACATTTAGAAAACCACGCTAAGTCAAAAAGTCCTAATTGTCGTTTTGTTTTTGTTTTTCTCCAGGACCGTTGTGGGTCGTACTTGTGGCAGATGCAGATGGCTTTGTGCCTCTGACATTTAAGCCCAAGGAGGAGCTCACGGTGCGGAACGGGAAGCGGAAATCAGCCCTGCGGACTCCCGGGAGTCCAGAGAACTCTTGCCCATCCAGTCCAGCCCCCAGCCAAAGCCCCAACACAACCACAGAGGCCTCCGTGTAGCCACTCCTAATGCACAGTTCAATATATGGACTCACAAAACAATGTCCCTCTGTTACCATGATGTATTCGACTGTCAAATGGACCGCAGCTGTATGACAAAATTGCTCTCGTGTGTGTTGAAATGACAGCCGTTTGACAAGAGATGCTCATTGCACTCCATGCATTGTTTACATTTTCTTCTTTTAAAAAAACAAAACCTGCGCAGTTCATGTTTTTGTTGAAGCAGGACGTGCTGATTAGCAGTCCAGCAACAGCGGTGAGTACGTTTTAGATGTGTTTGGGACATGTTTCTGATTGTTCTGACGTCTTATATGAACAAATGGAGGCTAATGGTCTTTTTTTTGAAGCAGAAGTAGATGTATGAAATTCAGGTTTTACACTTAAAATGTCAAGTTTAGCACTTTACCATCTCAAATGTTCTGTTTACGAGAGACCCAAAGCATTTTCCATCCTGCTAGAATTTTAACACATTCAGGAAAACCCATGTGACCACTAGAGGGGGCAACAGTCAACAGTAACTTTTCTCTCATGGTCATACCCTGCTGTTAGGACCGCTGCGGTTTGTTTTGAATGTCCAAAGAAAGGAATGTTTGGGGAGCTTTCTGAAAATTAAATTTGTATATGTAGTGCTTCTTCGTCGGTTATTCTCCACCGCACCACCTCCTCTGTAACGATCCCCCAAAACAACATTACAAAAAGCACTCTCTACAACATTTATTCATCTCATATCATCAAACCTTTTGGAATCATATATTATAAATAAATAACAGTGTTGTAGAGCTAAACACAGCAAATAACTCTATACATTCATTTATATAAATTAAGTAATCTCATATA